CTTATTTAAACTTCCTATTTTCCCTCTCTTTCTCTTACATCTCCCCAGCAGGAAAGTTAACAATGTGGCCTCATTAGTGTTAGGTGGAGGTAGAGGTCTAGGTTCTTCATGTGGACTCTATTGAAACCTAAGGGTGTAGGTTTTACTGCTGGAAACCATTTTACTGCTGGGTAAGTGTGGGAGTTCCATTGTCTCCACTGATACCAATGTGTGAGAGAGTGCTGGTAAGTCCTGCTTCCCTAATTGGCCTTTACTGATTCCACCCCCACTGACTCCAAGCATATTGGGTGCTTCATTCCAACCTTATGAAGGTAGAAGTCTAAGCTCCTAGGCTGGTTGAGTTGGGATGTTTTGCTGGAGTAGATTGTCTAGTATCCAAAAGATTTTTTTTTTTTTTTTTTTTTTTTGCAGTTTTGGGGATTGAACCCAGGGCCTCTAGCCTGATATGCAAATACTACCACTTGAGCTACAACCCAGCCCTTTTGTTTTTGAGATAGTCACCTAGGCTGGCCTCAAACTCAAGATTCTTCTGCCTCTTGAGTAGCTGGGGTTACGCATGTACACTACCATGGCTGGTGCCTGACTTTTCTTTTTCTTTCTCTTCTTTTTTTTTGAGACAGAGTCTCATTACGTAGCCCAGACTGGCCCTGAACTCACTATGTAGCTCAGGTTGTCTTCAAACTCACTATAGTGCAGGCTGACCTGGAACTTGTGGTCTTTATGTTTCAGCCTCCGGAGTTCTGGAATTACAGGTGTGAGTCAGCACAGTAGCTTTTGAGTTTTCTTTTTGGTCTGTGCCTCTTGTAAGAGACATAAAGAGGACCCTGAGAACTCACCACATGATTCCTTAAGTCCCAAGATCCCTAATAGCTGTTCTGCTTTCTTTTCTCAAACTTTTAGTCCATTTATGTTTGTTTTAAAAATAATGTCCAGAGTTTTTTGTTGTTGTTGTTATATTTAAGCAGGAGTAATATGGAAAAGTACATCTACTCCATCTACCCAGAAACATAAGTCTGCATATTGATTTTATCCTAGGGAATGTTTGTGTTTGGTAAGCCTTTTCCATCGTTCTTTTCCCTTATGTTTTTTTCCTTTTTGCTTTTTCCTGAGTCAGAATTTTCTGTTCCTAAGTCAGATATTTACCTGTCCATACTCAGGGTGAATGCCTGAATTCAAACCCCAGTACTCCAAAAAACCCCAAAAAAACCAAACATACATACATATATATACACATATATATATGTGTATATATATGTAAATACCTCTCTCTACTCTTTTTTCCCTTGTCAATTTCTGTGCTTCACTAATTGCTCCTGCTTATATCAAAACTCTTTGAAACATTATTTTTTGGTTTTTGCTTTTTCTACTCACTGTCTCTAGTTCTTCTTGAATTATTAAATCCAGTCTGGTCTGGTTTTTGCTTTACAACTCAAACAGAAGTGCTTTTGTGAAGGTCACCAGTGAATTTTATGCCTCAGTCCCATTATCGATTCTTGGTCTCACCTTTTTTTTTTTTTTTTTGCAGTACTGGGGTTTGAACTCAGGGCCTACACCTTGAACCATTCCACCATCCCTTTTTTGTGATGGGTATCTTTGAGACTGGGTCTTTTGAACTATTTGTCCATGCTGGCTTCGAACCTAGATCCTCCTGATCTCTGCCTTCTGAGTAGCTAGGTTTATAAGCATGAGCCACCGATGCCTGGCTGGTCATCATCTTTCTTGATCCATCAATAGGCTAAACAATCATTCCATGCAACTTCTGTGAAGTGTATCTACACTTAAGGCCCACCTCCTCATTTTCCTTTGGCTTTTCATTCTGTCTTCTTTGTTGATTCATTTTATTCTCCATTTTTCAATATCCGTATGAAGACTTAATCCTGTTACACTAATTTCCTTGATTTTTTTTTTTGTCTTGTCTCATGACATATGTTGATGACCTCAGACTTTTATCTCCAACCCACACTTTTCCTAAACTCCAGATTGGTTTATCCAGCATTTCTACTTGGGTGGCTCCTAGTCACTATGTACAAAACTGATCTGTCAAACTTCTTCAATCTCTCCTCCATCTATAGCCTTCCCCAGCTCAGGTGGTGATGATACTGTCCTAGTTATTCAGGCCTAAAATCCATGAGTCCGTCTAGAGTCCTGTCTTTCAATGTATAAATTCCATCTGTTGAACAGTTAAGCTGGCTTTTAACATAACTCAAATCTCTCACTTCTTCCTTTTCCTCCTCCTTCTCCCCTTCCTCTCTTCCTCCTCTCCCTCCCATTCCTCTTTCTCCTCCTCTTTTTTTTTTGTTCCCCAGGCTGGTCTCAAACTCCTGAACTCAAATGATTGTCTTGCTTTGGCCTCCTGTGTAACTGGGACTGCAGGCACAGGCCACCATGGCCAGTTTTCTCCCTTTTCACCTCCATTGAGTTTGTATTGCTTCAAATTATTCTATTTATCCTATTTCAAATTATTCTTTTTAATTTTTTTTAAATTTTATTATTCATATGTGCATACAAGGCTTGGGTCATTTCTTCCCCCTGCCCCCACCCCCTATTTCAAATTATTCTGATGGCCACCTTGTTTCCCTGCTTGCAGTCTGTACTGCACAGACAGTGAGAGGAGTCTATCAATATGTATTCCTATGCCCAATCTTCCAAGACTCCAGATTACTGTGATTCAGCTCCTACATCCCTTGGTCACATAGATCTTTCTGCTGCCCTCAAACATGCCAGTTCACCTTGGATCATTTGGGGAAGTTATACAGAAAGAGTCATGGATACTTTAATTGATATTATCTTAAATTTATTAGAAAAATTGATGTCTTTCCAATTGAAAACATTTTCCAACCAGAATTAGATTCTCTCGCTCTCTCTTTCTCTCTCTATCTTTATCTCTCTCTCTCTCCTCCTGCCTCCCTCCCTCCTTTCTTTCCTCCCTCAGCAAGAAGTTTATTTAGGGCTAGGGATGTAGCTCAGTGGTTCAGTGTTTGCCTACCATGCACAAGGCCCTGGGTTCTATCCCTGGTACCATCCAAAAGAAAAAAAGTTAAGCAACAAGACTTGAAGGGAAGCTGGCGCCGGTGGCTCACACCTGTAATCCTAGCTGCTCAGGAGACAGAGATCAAGAGAATTGCGGTTCAAAGCCAGCCTGGGCAAAAGACTCTATCTTGAAAAACCCTTCACAAAAAATAAGGCTGGCAGAGTGGCTTAAAGTGAAGGCCCTGAGTTCAAGCCCCAGGACCGCAAAAAAAAAAAATGCAATATGCTTATATATATATATGCACATTTATTTTATGTATAATAAAGGAACAGAGAAGGAGAAAAATCAAAGAATAGAGAAAATAATCAGGATGGTGGAACCAAATTGTGGTTTTCTAATTGACAATGTACTCTTGGTCTTTTTTATTAGGATATATTCATTATTCCGGGGGTGATCGTAGTGACAATTCCTATTAGATGTATATTGTACATTATTTATATTGCCCCCAACTCTTGGTCTTAAGAACAGAGTTCTGGAGTAAAGTTATTGGTTCCCTTTTCAGTAGACACCTACCTGTGTGTTAAACACATCAATTGTATATTCCTCCTCCATTTCCAACTGTGTAGGTGTGTCTTAATAAAACAGACTGGCTGCCTATCAAATTGGAATCTGATTTGCCTCCTTGACAAACCTTGTCTTTCACAATAGGCTTTCATTATTTTACTAAAGTGGTATGTTCCTCTTAAACTGCACCAGAGAACCATCCTGCCTCACCATTTTGAAACTAATGTGAATGTTGTTCTTAGTGTTCACTTCTTCCTTGGGCTTTTCAAAGCACCAGAGTCTCCTCAGCTGCTGCTTCTCAAAGGAGGTACCAAGTGTGCCCTGCACAAGCATATAGGCAGCACTAGGAGTGGCAGAAGAAAGAAGTGGCAGTAGTGGACAAGGGTGCACATGACACTCTTTATTCACCTCTTCTATGTTCCTCAAAGATGTTTTTGAGTTTCATTTATGCAAAGCCATTGTTTTATGCACTTATATCCTATTGCTATTTTGAATAGCATTCTTTTCCATCTGGTTAATCATGGTATGTAAAAAAAATGATTTGGCTTACGTGTTTGTGTTTCTCTGAAAATTTTAAACTGAACTCTTTCTTTTCTGTTTGTTTTTTTTTTTATATAAGGTCTTGCTATGTAGTCCAGGCTGACTTTGAACAGTCCATCCTCCTGCTTCAGCCTCCCACGTGCTGATATTACAAGCATGCGCCATCACACCTGGCCTGTAAAACTGAACTCTCCAGTATTCATCACTTTTTGGTTGATAACCCTCTGTGATTATTCTTGGTTCTGTACTTGCTGTGAATCTTGTATAGGGTTGTCTTTCTTTCAGATCTTTCCTGGGATCCTACCTTAAGCTCTTTGTTTTTAGGCACTGGACCCTCTGGTCTGGGGTGGGGACCTCTCCTCGACTCTATACAGGACCTTTGTCTAGATACTCAGAAACCCTGAATACAATTTTCTGGTCACCTTTTCTTAACCAACCCTCATGACTTGCTAGGTTTGAAATGGCATTAGTATTCAGTGGGTATTTGTAGAAGGAGTAAGTAAATGACTAAAGTGTTTGTTTCTTCTAGACTTTCCAAATAACTTTACTAGAAACACTTAATATTTGTTACGTTTCCTTGTTTTTCAACTTTTTGTTGATTTTATTTCTAGTCAGTATGTGTATATTTTGTGGTAGTGTCACCCAGTCTTATTTCATAGTGACTTTCCCAATATTGTACATTCCAAATACTGATTTGATAGTGAAGTCATTGATTGGCTTAATGTATAATGACTACTTCCTGCTGGAGGCATGGCTCAAGTGGTAGAGTGCCTGCTTCACAAGCACTAGGCCCTGAATTCAAACCCCAGTACCACAAAAAAGAAAAAAGACCACTTCTTTGCTCACTTCATGGTCTTCTATAACCTGCTGGATCTATTGATTCAGTGTTGCTATTTATGACTTGATGACCTTCCATCCCTCCCAGATCCAGGCTTCTTCAGGAGAAACCAAGTACACTGGTACCTTGGACTGTGCAAAAAAACTGTATCAGGAGTTTGGGATCCGAGGCATCTACAAAGGGACTGTGCTTACCCTCATGCGAGGTAACCTTTGAGGCCTTCCACTTGAGGTCACCTGACAGAGTGTCTTGCCTGAATTGCCAGATTAGTGTTGCCACATGTCATAGCTCTGACAAGACCAGGATTGTGTATGTATTCTGGTTTTAGGCAATCTCACTCCAGCCAATATGGACACAGATATGAAGGGACCTTCTATTCTTCCTGAGTGTCTTTAGGAGTGGAAATCATGACAGTGATAGTTGGATGGGAGTGACTACTAGAGAGAAGTCATGACTGGAGGGATGAATGGGGAGAATCTTTAGGGATGGTGGGGAATCTTTTCTTTCATGTGTTTGGGGATGAAACCAGGGCATACATATGTTAGGCAGTGTTCTACCATTGAGTTCTCCTTAGTTTCAAGGGGCAGGTTTTGCTGGGGTGGCAGTAGGAGAGGCAGAGACAGTCCCACAACTGTGGGACTCTGAGGGCATCTTGGAGGAAGGCTGGATATACTAGCTATAGTCATAACTGCGGAGTGAGCATGTAAGGGTTGACCACCTACAGGGAACTTTATAAAGAGGAAATGCTGTCACATGTGTTTACAGTCACTCATACCAGTACTTCACCCAGAACAGCATCTGATAGCTGCAAAGTGATGATTGCAAATAGAATGTGGCTACTGAGGAACTTCGCAGGAATCTTTAAATGGTCCAGTGCCAAGCTTGGCTCTTCTAAGTATAAGAAATTTGTGGGGATTTTTATAGACTTTAATTCACCTCTTTCTTGCTACTAACAGATGTTCCAGCCAGTGGGATGTATTTCATGACATATGAATGGCTGAAAAATGTCCTCACTCCAGAGGGAAAGAGGTGAGAAGATTAGAACATAGAAGCCAATTGCCCTGCTCATAGGTGGGTTGTCCTCTCCTATGGGTGGGTCTGAATGTAGAAGTAAAACTTATTCCTGGTTCCATGTACACTTTCCCCTTGCTGTTGCTGAGGTCAGCTAGTACCTCTGTTACTCTGTGCCTCAACCAGTGGAGTATTTGAAATAGGTGCTTGAGGGCTGGTAAAGTGGCTCACGTGGTAGAGCCCCTGCCTAGCTAGTGTTAGACCCTGAGTTTAAGCCCTAGTACCACCACCAAAAAAAAAAAAATCACTGAATAGTTGCATGAAACCTCTCTAAGGAGTGGCGGCTGCCATGTCACGGGAGCCTTGTCCTTGCACCTTCTCCCACCAGCCACTTTCTTCCTTTCAGTAACTCTGTCTGCAACAGAAGGGATGAATGATACTCTTACAGCCTTTGTCTTACTGGGGCTGTGGTTGGGTGTTCTGCAGTGTCAGTGATCTGAGTGTACCTCGGATTCTGGTGGCTGGAGGCTTTGCAGGGATCTTCAACTGGGCTGTGGCAATCCCCCCAGATGTGCTCAAGTCTCGCTTCCAGACTGGTGAGTGTCACGGATGTAGACGGAGGAGGTTTTAGCACTGGCTACCCATGGTGTACAGAGCTCTTAAAACCCTGAGGATACATACTTTCCATGGCAGTTCCCAGTGTTTGTTTGACCACTTTTCTCCCTCACAGTCACTTGTATTCCAGGAACCCTGTCATTTGTATCCAAGGAACCCTAAATTTGTTTTTATATCAGCCTAAACCCAAAGTCAGATAAGAAGTCAAATCTACGATTCGTTTCCCATGTGATAAGAAGACTGAATCTATTTCCCTCTTTCCTACTTCCTCGGTACTAGTAACATTGTAACATTTGTGCCTTTGTCCTAAGGTGAACTGTTATCCATGAACTAGTTCTAGGTGACCTGCAAAGTGTCCTCTCTCTGGTACTTGCCCTGACCCTTCAGGTAGACTTTCAACTATTAGGTTGTCTAATGTAGGTTTCCATGGTTAGATAAGGAAGCTTACCTAAAGCCCTAAAAATTGGGTTCTGCCTTGTAGCACCTCCTGGAAAATACCCCAATGGTTTCAAAGATGTGCTGAGAGAGCTGATCCGAGATGAAGGAGTCACATCCTTGTACAAAGGGTTCAATGCAGTGATGATCCGAGCCTTCCCAGCCAATGCAGTGAGTATCTGGCAGAGGCCGTGATTTTCCTTCTAGACTCAGACCAGGTTGTAAGGGGCTGGCTTTGCTTGTTCCTGACATTGCACTGAGCATTCAAACCCCAGACTCAGCAAGTGCTTCTTCGATCACTCTCATGAAGCTGTCAGAATGGCCTTTGGGGCTCCCAGAAATGAGGGGCTTTGGTTTCCTGGCTATCAGAAATGGGCAGTTGTAGGGCATGCACTTTCTTCTCTTAGGAATGAGAGCGTATGATGCTTCCTTTTTTTTTTTTTTAAAGATAGGCTCACTATGTAACTCAGGCTGGCCTGAAACTCATGTAACCAAGACTGGTCTCAATCTTAAGATCTTCTTCCCTTTGCTTCTAGAGTGCTGGGATTAACAGGTGTGCACCACCACACAGGCTTAGCTTGCCTCCTGATCTTAGATGAGAATAGTGTTAAGGGTTCTTGTCCTAACAGAGGCAACTAAGCATGTGCTTTGGGTGGTATTATGAATGTCACACTTCTGTTGACTTTTTTCTTTCTTTCAACCCCTTCTTAGGCTTGTTTCCTTGGCTTTGAAGTTGCCATGAAGTTCCTTAATTGGGTGGTCCCCAACCTGTGAGACTGAAGGCTACTCAGGGATTCTGGATGCTGGAAACTATCGTTGAGGAGAAGCAGTGGGCAGGATGAGGCAGTCCTGCAGGGTGGGGGGAGGGGAATGGTGGGATCAGAGCTTCAGGCATGGACACGATAGAACCCTTGCCTTAATGACATCCTCTACCTGTATAACTTGATGTGCCATTTCAAAACATGAATTCACTCTTGCCAGTTTAGGAAATTTTTCAGAATTTGGAGATGGAATAAGTAGCTTCTAGACCAGATACCACCTGTGGCCAGATTGCTACCTACTAGTAGTTGACTACTAGTCCTAAAACACTCAAAATATCCCTGGCTAAAGAGGTGATGTCAGCCTCTCACTGGAGGCATCTTACATATTTTCAACCAGATGATCAGGAACTGGGATCTTCTTCAATCACTAGTCAGAAAACCCAACTGATTTATAGGGTGCCATCTAATCCCAGGCTGCACATAGGGATGTGGACTTGAAGCCCCATCTGACCGCTCAAGTGGACTGGGTGGATATGCCTATTAACTGTTGGATTTTGATTATTTTTACACAAGCAAATAATCAAAAATAAAACTACAGTAGCCTAATTTTCCAGGAGAAGGTGGAGAATTTTCCCTCCCACACAATGCGGATGGACAGTCCCCGCCTGCTGGGATAAGTGTGAAAGCCCAGGGTGTAGGGAGGGTCTTTTTTGTATTATCTTTCCTCATGAGAGTACCCAGTGTCAATAGGAAACAATAAATTTTGTTTCTAATTTTTGCATTGTGTGATATCTTTTTCTTGTTATTCTGGGATATTTTAACAGGCAGCCTGTGGCCTTGGTGGAGGCTGTCAGGGATCCAGTATCCTCCCCTGGGAGTCTTAGGCAAAGACTCTGGCAAGGGAAGGGGGAAGCTTTGGCTGGCCCAGATTTTTCTGGTTGCCCCAGTTGTACAAGGTTGGGTGGGTGGGATAGGGTGACTTGCTAGGCAGGCACTTTACCAATTGAGCTACTCTGCCAGCCCAAGGGTGACTTGATAGGTAACTGTTCACATGGCCTTCAGTGCCAGTATGGCTGGCAGACCACCACAAGGCCTAGCCTACAATCCATCCTTTTATTCATTCCCCTCTCTGTCCTGAGCCACATGGGTATCTGGGCTGACAAATGCAAAGTCAATTGTTCCAAAAGGACAAAAGCAATTTTGTGTTTTCATGTGGGCTTTGTTGTTGTGATCTGATGTAACAAGCCTGGCTTTCTAATCAGGTTAATGATGATATACAGGTGCAGCCAGAAAAGACTGGAGGAAGTCACAAGACCAATTGTCCTTGTCTGGTGGAGAGCAGAGTTTGCCAAAGTTATTGGAGCAATGCTTTTCTGGTATTGTCCTGTCTGGCAGTCACAGTTAGTTCCACTGGCACTTCCTGCCTCACTGTGGTTGTGTATCCTTGGACTTTGGCTTTAGAGCCATCACTGTGTGAATGAGAGGGGCAGACCCACCCCAATCTAGGAGTTGGGGGTGTGGCCAACCTGGCAGGAAGCTGCAGATTTGGGAGTTTAAGGAAGGAAGCTTTATTCCTGGGAAGATACTTCTGAATGACCAGACAGGAATTCTGACCAAGTAGAAAATAACATTTTTTAAAAATGAAAATGGTGATCCCTCTGCCTATGAACTTTAATTCAGTGTTACACCTGTTCCCTCCCATGGTGGAGGATCTTTAATATCTCACTGACTTGGAAATAGCCAGATATGTATCTCTTGAAGCTTTTCTTTATACCACCCAGTACATGAGACCTCAGCCTTTTCCTGGAAGCTCCTGTTAGTCTATTGCATTCCACCAAATGCCAGCCATTCCCATAGTTTAGGATTACTTTTACAATCCTGTATAATTTTCTCTTTGAAACATCTTCCATTTTAAAATGGAGTGTTTTGACTTCGTGATTTTGGTAATGGTAGATTCTTTTACTCCTTTGTATGTTCAGTAGATGAAATTAAGTCAAACAGGGAAGCCCCTGGAGGCATATTTGTGAAGGGAGCAGAGCAGATGGTGAGTGACTCCCTCTTGGCTCATGCTTCCTTTTATGATGCACTTTGAAATGGCACCTGTTCCTAATATATCTCTTTATCTCCCTGACAGGGGGATGGGGAATGGGGACAAGGAAGGGAATTGGGTCCCTCCCCAGTGAGTTCTCTGCCTGTCACAGTTAGTCAAGTGCAAGCCAGACAGTAATTGTCAAAACAACCAATTGGCAATAATGGCCTTGCTCAGGGACCAAGGAGGTTATAACAGCCAGGGATAAGGGACATAGGGCAATTGCTGTGATAGTGACCTATCCAAAGCACTGCAGCATCATTTCTGCTATACGGTCATACAGTATATACCTCACATTTCATTCCCTACAGCTCCCCCTGACACACTCTTTTTGTGAGATGGCCTCTAACTTGCTATGTATCCCAGGGAGCCCTTTAACTCATAATCCTCTTACCTCAGCCTCCCAGTGCTGGTGTTACAGGCATATGCCACCATTCCTGGCTCCTATGGCCTTTTGAGGCTGGACTCATACTTTTTCTACACTTCTTATAGGTTCTTTCTCTTATTTCTTTGTTTTTCTTCAATGCTGGGGATTGAACCCAGGGCCTTATGTAGACAAGTGCTATACTACTGAGCCACACCCCTTTCCTTTTTTCATATCTTTATCCCCATTTAACTCAACATTTAGTAAGTAGGGAATTTTTCTTTTTTAACAGAATTAAGTTTGAACTTAGGGCTTTGTGCTTGCAAAGAAGGTACTCTACTGCTTGAATCACCCTCCAGTCCATTTTGTTCTGGTTATTTTGGAGATGGGGTCTTGTGAACTATTTGCCTGGGATGGCTTTGAACCTCGATCCTCTCAGTCACAGCCTCCCAAGTAGCTAGAATTACAGGTGCTAGCTACCAGCACCAGCTAGGTAGGTTTTTTGTTTTGTTTTGTTTTTTTGTGGTGCTGGGGCTTGAACTCAGGGCCTATACCTTGAGCCACTCCACCAGCCCTTTTTTGCATTGGGGTTCTTCAAGATAGAGGCTTGAAGAACCATTTCCCCTGGATGACTTCGACTTCGAACCATGATCCTCCTGCGCCTGGTTTACGTAGGGATTTTTACCTGCACTTTCAGATGTGGAAGCCAAAGCTCAAACAGGAAAAAGTGATCTTCAAAGGTCATCAGCCAGTTGATAAGAGTGAAGGGCCTGGGTGTCTGAGTGTCCTGAAGAAAGACTTGTCATGCTATCAGAAGTTGCCTTGAGGCCACTTGACCTAGGCTACCGGAGGCCTGTCTATCTCTTGGTCAAAGTCTAGGTATCTAACCTATAAGTCACACAAGGAGTGGCACTTAGAGTCCTGACAGCACTGAGAGGGCCCCAGGGCCAGGTGCTCCCTGAAGTCTCCTTTTTTTTTGTTTTCTCTGCTATGGTAAGCACAAAGGCCTGTAATTCTCCAGCTAGGTTCCCCATGTTTCTTAGGTTCTTTTCTTGCCCCGAGGTATCTTAGAAGCAGATCATGGGTCCACTGCAGAGACTGACACTTTCTTGGGACACAGTGTCCCAGGGAAGGGGTTGGCTCACAGGTACAGAAACAGGTGGCCTGGGAATTAGCTGCTCCCTGAAGCATGTATGTTTGCTAAAATAGATCAGATCTCCTGGATCAAAAGCAGTGGCCTCATTGAGAAGGCATTAAGGAGATTGAAGGATAGTTTGCTTGAGTGCAGAAGAGACATAGTCCATTTCCCCAATCTCTCCTACCAATTCAAAACTCATGAACACTTTTTTTTTTTTTGGTGGAACTGAGGCTTGAACTCAAGGCTTCATGCTTGCAAAGCAGGCACTCTACTGCTTGAGGCACACTGCCAGTCCATTTTGCTCTGGTTATGCTGGAGATGGGGGTCTCATAGGCTATTTGCCTGGGCTGGCCTTGAACTGCAATTCTCCCAAGTAGCTAGGATTACAGGTGAGTCACTGGTGCCCAACTCATGAACACTTCTAAGGTGAAACAGATTTTGGTAGTGGCAGGTACTAAGTGAACCTGAACTGGGAAGACTAGGTGAGCAATGGGCTGCCATGCAGAGGTGGTCAGATAACCAACAGGTTCTAGGAGACAGATAAGGGACCAGGGTGGCTTAGAGAATTGGCCTCTTGTTCATATAAGTGGCATTGTTCCTGCTAGAGCTGAGTTCCCCCAGTAGGTAAAGGAGATAAAGTATGTAAGGTAGGCGTCTGGGCCAAGATCAGAATTTGAGAGGAGTTTGGATTTCTCCCTTCTTTCTGAGGGGGTGTTGTGGGACCTTTTAAATAATATCTATCAAGAGTACATGGAATTTACTATTTCAGTAGAAACAGCAGTTAACATTTTACCCATGTTCACTTTCACCAAAACCCACTGCTGTTGGGTTAAAGAACATGTGTCCAACCCCTTTGCTAGTCTGCATCCAAAATTGTAAATGTCTCTGAGAATTAGTCCCATTGTGTCCATGTCTGTGCCTGTGGCTGATGGTATGGTCATTTATGCAAGATATTGATTATCTTCTGGGTTGTGAGTAGGACTTCATCCCTCAGGACTCTGAAGCCTCCTTCTCTGTATTTCTCATGCTTCTGAGAGTCTCTACTCTTGGCCTTTTCCACCTACTGTTATTTGCTCTTGGTAGCTGTTTTCCAGTTACTGACTACCTGTGGGTCTTGTTGCCATGGTAACTTTCAGTGGTACAGCTGGACAGGCTTGAATACAGGCAGGATGGATTCAGGATAAAGGTGGAGGATACAGGGTTTAGACCCCCGATGCTCTGTTACAGGGCCCTCTTCTTTGATAATCTCAAATGGCATTCATGAAGACCCTTGGGGCTCCAACTGTTATTGAAGGATTGGCCATAAGGGGCAGAGAATGATCACTTGCTTTGGGGACCAAAGGCTGATGGAGACAGCCAGGTTGGACCTGGAGACTGGCTATTTAACCTTAGTCTGAGTCTGGTATATGGAAACAAGTGAGGTGCAGCTTTAGGGTTCCTGTTTTCTGTAGCCTGCACTCCTAGAATTGGTGTGTGTGTGTGTGTGTGTGTGTGTGTGTGCGCGCCTATGCACTGGGGATCGAATCCAGATCTTTGTGTTAAGCACACATTCTGCCATTGAGCTATATCTCAGCCTACGTTTTCCTTTTTTTGTGGGGGGGGCAGGGAGGGGACAGCACTGGAGTTTGAACTCAGGACTTCATGCTTACTAGGCAGCCGCTCTTAAAACTTGAGCCATTCTACCACCCCCAATTTTTTTTTTCTTAACTCACCATATTTCCCAGGCTGGTCTCAAACTCCTGTGCTAAGTTATTCTCCAGCCTCAGGTTCCCAAGTAGCAAGGACAATACGTGGGTACCACCGTGTCTAGCCAGGATGTCTTTTGAATGCTGTTTGCTGGCTGGCTGGATGGATGGATGGATGGCTGAGCTGTGGGGCATCTGAGAACTAGTCAGGTAGAGGAGACTGCTTTTGGCAGAGGCCAGCAAGGTTTGACTGGATTGGGAGAACCTGCTTACACCAACTCTGTCAACAGTCCTAGAGGAGCCTTTCTCTCCCCTATTTTGTAATTGAGGTCAGAGTCCTAACTGTTCAGTTGCCTGCCACCATTTAAAACATATAAAGTCCAGCAATGGGGAAAACTAGGGAGAGAAATTGTTAATTTCTTTTTCCAAAAGCTTGGCTGTAGGATTGCTTGAGAAGGGAGAAATCCCCAGGTGTGGTAGTGAACTGGGAGTCATATTCACGTTTTCTGGGTATCACTGTCAAGGACTGATCCCTGAAAAGCATGTAAGGGTCAGTCTACCCAAGAGCAGAGAAGAGTTGAGTGACCCTGTCCTTCTATCTTGACTGACTGTCCTTGGTGAGGTCTTCATAGTCTGAGATCAGAAAAATAATTTTGAAGGAAAGGATTTCAGTTCTGAGACTATGAGAACTAGTAGTATCATTGGCTCCTTTTGCTGTGTTGAAATTTATCATTCATTCAGTCAGTAAACCTTCTCCAAAATTGCAATAAAGGCCCAACAGACAAACTGGACACTGCCTCTCCCCTCACAACATTAATAGCCCCAGACTGCTCTCCAGGGTCAGGGAAACACTGCTGTTTGTAATCACAGGCCTGCCTAGCTTTCAGCCTGAGCTGGCCTCTACCAGAAGGGATGAGGTGCTCCTGCTACCAGCAGCTCAATTCCCAGCAGCACTGAGCTCCTGAGTGAGTGCCAAGTCTGTATGGGAGGTGCTAGTGAGGATTTTAATTAATACTGAGTAATTACCAGGTGGTGTTTAACCATCCTAAATGCCTTTCAGTTTCCCAAGCCTACAGCTAATCACTTGCTGGCTGGTCCTGGCAGGGAAAGGGAGGACTCTGTTCTGTGCCCATTGGGTCTTTGGTTAACACTTAGATTGTGGCATGGACATCCCAGGAAGGTACCTACCTTCTTTTTTCCATTCTGTCTGGTGAGAGGAGGGGAGCAAGTTAGGTAATAGCCTGTTCACCTATGCCCTCTCTCCAGAGGCAAAGGATAACAGTGTCTTATGGTCTGCTCAACTTCATCAGGCAGTACTGGCCCAGGGCCCGGGGTGGAAAGTAAGGCGAGGAGGGGTGTGCGGGTCCACACCTGGGGACCCTGGTGAGAGGGATCAAAAAGAGGAACAAGCACAGGGGCTGTTGTTCTGGAACTAATTCCCTTTTCTCATTGTACACATTAGCCTAACTACGCTCTAACAAGATTCTTTTTCTATCTCTGGCTCTCAAATTACCATAGCATTGAAACTTGTACACCTACAAGGCCTTCTCCTTTGACAACTACAGACTTCATGCCACACCGTTCCATGGGTCAAAGTGGTCCTGACTTGACCAGACCTTTGTTCTTGCAGTGCTCTGTGCTCAGGTGGCTTTCTTCTAGATTCTCCACTGGGCGGGTCCTGCTCAGTCCTTGGGGTCAGCGTCCATGTGCCCCCCTAAAGTGGGCCCTTGTACCCTCTACTTCAGCGGCAACCATATTGAGAGGTCGTGTGTTTCTGTGCCCCTGGCGCTCAGTAGTGTGTTTTGAAAGAACAGGTAAAAGGTCTTCATGGCCAGGAGAGATGCAATGACCAACCAGCTTGGGAGCAGGCCATCCTTTATATATTTTCTGGGTTCCCTGCCAGTAGCTGGCACACGGAGCCCTTCTCTAGCACCTTGACCCCGGCGTTGCTGAAGGGGCTGGCGGCCCAGTGGCGCACGCGCATTGAGGGCCGGCGCTCGACGGGGACGCGCACGCCCTGTGCGTCATAACCCGGGCGCCTGCCCCGCCCGTCCAGCTCGCTTGCCCGTGGGTCCCGCGGTGGCGGCGGCGGGCTAGTGACAGCAGCGGCGGCGCCAGGCTGGCCGTGGTAGCGTAGGGTCGCGCTGCCCGGAAACACAAATCCGGCCAAAGAGCGGCGCTACGCGAGGAAGGCCGGCCCGGGCCGCGCGTGAGAAGACCTCGAGGGCGCCTAGCGAGAGGCCGGCGGGAGGAGGCGTAGAGGTAGTGGCCGCCGGCGGCCCGGACCCGCCCGTCCCCTCGGCCGCCGCCGGCATGAGCCACATCCAGATCCCGCCCGGGCTCACGGAGCTGCTGCAGGGTTACACAGTGGAGGTGCTGCGGAAGCAGCCGCCTGACCTCGTCGATTTCGCGGTAGACTACTTCACCCGCCTGCGCGAGGCCCGCCTCCAAGCCTCAGACCCGTTCGCCGCCACCGCTTCAGGCTTGCAAACGCCAGACTCCGGCCCGGCCCCTGTCTCCGACAAGAATGGGAACAGCGACTCAGAAGACGACTCGGAGTTGGAAGGTAGGTGACGCGCGGGGCCGGGCCTTGCTGTGAGGACGAGGGAGAGGTGCCGAGGGTCTCGCGGTCTACGGAGCAGTGCCGGGGAATGGTCGTCGCGCCTGCCCTGGCCAGGACCTGGGAGCTCTCCTGGCGGAGTTTGTTGGGTTTCCCTGCGCCGTCGATGGGAGCGCCGCGCGTGCCGCTTACAAATTGAGCTCGCCGGCTCTCCGAGCCTGAGAGCGCACAGTCATGTGTCACATTCAGCCTCCTAAGCAGCGTGCGCTCTTTTGGTCCTCATGGTGGCGTGGAGCCCACGGCGGCCCCGCCAGAAGAGCCTTGTGCCTACTTTGGTTCCGAAGACCACGACGCCAGCGTTGTTCGGAAATAATTCACTTTGGGGAAAAGTTATTGTGAGCAACTTAATACACAGACAAAAGAGACGAAAGATGAGATGAACCCCCATATGCTGTCACCCACATTCAACACTTGTCAGTATTTTGTCACAAATGTTTCGCCTATACCATTTCTCCCTCTTCGCTGAAGTGGTTTCTTTTTTCTTTCTTTTTGAATTGAGTCTGGTCACAGCATTCCTGCATGTTTGAGTATGCATTTCTTAAAATATGGTCCCCGAGAACGAATATATAGTATATGTAACATATATATATACATATATGCATAAAATATGTAACGAATATGTAACCAATATATGTAACGGATATATATACATATATATAATACATACATTATATATTTACATGTTAGAAGTACATACAAACATATAAGTTTGGCTAAAACAAATCAAATTTGGTGAGAGTAAGCATTATCTTGTTTAGTGTGAGAGTTACAGGAAAGAAGCCAAGTAACACTTTGTACATTTGATTTAATCAAGGACATCCAGAAGCAATTTCATTTTCTTGGTTGCTTCTAATATGCTTTGCCAATTTAACAATAGAATTATCCTACTTTTTTTTCCGAACACCCTCCCTCTCCCCTTCGGGTACTGGGGTTTGATCTCAAGGTCTTCACCTTGAGCTACTCCACCAGCCATTTTTTTGTGATTTTTTTTTTTTTTTTTTTTTCAAGATTGGGTCTTGTGAACTGTTTGCCTGGGCTGGCTTTGAATCATGATCCTCCTGATCTCTGCCTCCTAAATAGCTAGGATTACAGGTGTGAGCTACCGGTGCCCGACTAGAATTATTCTACTTTTGAACAACCAAAATTTAACAGAACAATGAGAACATTTGAGAGACAAAATTTGAGGCTTAATGTTACTAGATCATATTGGGGAAAACAAACAAACTATTTTTGAATTGACTGTGGTCTGGCCTCACATTCAGGTCACTGGTGGAAAGGAGTTATGGTCATTGCTGTGGAAGGTTATGTCAGTGTGTTGGATAGTGTCCCTAAGTGTATGCATGCCAAAAGAGTAGAAATTTCGCTTCTGTGTTTCCCTAACTTACTGCTTGTAACATTCTTGGTTTGGGGGAAATCAGAAATTATTTTCCAGATCTCTGCTACAGATTGCTTTGTGGTCATGGACAAGTCGTCAAACCTGTTTGATTTCAGATTTTTTTATCTTTGAAATGAGGACAGTGACACCAGTCTCCCAGGGGTAAATGTGTTTTTAAAAGCTTTATTTCAGGAATGAGTTCTAGCTTCCTTCCACTGTTATCTCTATAAATCACAAAGCTATGGCCTGTTTTGGGACAATCTTTATTTACACAAAACATCAATTAGTAGTTTAGAAAGAAGTACCAGATAAACATACAAATTTTTGTGCAAGTTTCATTCTTTGTCATTTTTTTTCTTTATTTTTTGGGAGTTTGAACTCAGGGCTTTGTGCTTGCAAGGCAACTGATCTACCCCTTGATCCACACCTCCAGCCCTTTTTTCTTTTTCTTGTGGCGCTGGAGATTGAACTCCGGGTTTCATGCAGGCTAGGTAATCCCTCTGCCACTGAGTTACACCCCAGCTCTGTCATCTTTCATAGCCTTCAAAATTGAGTTGCTTTAAAATCTTCATAACCCTATTCTCTATTTTATTGATATTTACATATTTTTATGTCTCAAGAGCCAGTGTCACATATATAATCAATATAAGGTGGATTTCTGTTTACAGATGTAGGCTAAAAATACATTGTACCCAATGAGATACTACTTAATGCCTATTAGAATAGCTATTATTAAACAAAGATTAAAAAAAAAAACCCAGAAAATAGGGGCTAGTGGAGTGGCTCAAGGTGTAGAGTGCCTGCCTTGCAAGAATGAAGCCCTGAGTTAAAACCCCAGTACCACTAAAGGAGGAAAAAAAAAAAAGAAACCCAGAAAATAGCATGTGAAGAAGTTGGATTTCTTGCACATTGCTCATGAGAATGTAAACTATCCGGTCACTGTGGAAAACAGTTTGGTGGTTCCTCAAAAAAAGTGAACAGAATTACCACTTGGTGGAGCAATTCCATTACCTAGGTATGTATCCAAAAGGCTTGAAGGTAGGGAGTCAAACATTGAATATTTGTATACAGTGTTCACTGCAGCATTATTGACAGTAGCCAAAGGTGGAAAAAACCCAAGTGTCCATGAATAGATAAATAAATTATGGTATATACAAATAATAGAATATTACTCAGCTTTAAAAAGAAATGGAACTCTGATACAGGCTACAACATGGATGGTGTTACAACATTGAAAACATGCTAAATGAAATAAGTCAGACAAAAAGACATTGTATAATTTCACTTCTGGAGATACCTAGAATAGCAAATTCATAGGAATAGCAAATTCAATGGATCAGAAAGTACAACAGAAGTTAATAGGGGCCAAGGGAAGTCAGTAATAGACATTATTGTTTGTTCTTACTGTCACTAATTTATTTATTTATTTTTTTTTGCGGTATTGGGGATTGAACCAGGGCATACTAGGCATCCTCTCCACCACTGAGCTATAACCCCCACTTCCCGAGGCATTATTATTTAATGGATGCAGAGCTTCTAAGTGGGATGATAAAAAAAATTCTGGAGTTGGATGGTGGTGATGGTTGCACAATGTTGTGAATGTGCTTAATGCCACTGAATTATACACTTAAAAATGATTAAAATAGTACATTTAGTGATATGTATATTTTACCACAATTTAAAAAACCCAAAAAAGAAAAATACATCACGTATTCAGTGACATTAGCATAATAAGTTCATACTGCTCAAACTAGAAATAGACTATGTAGTGTTAGAACTGTATGTAGCAAGGAGGTTTTGCTTAGTATGGGCTTCATGGCCAATACAGTTTATAAACCAATTATAAACAATTTGGTTCATAAAATAAAAAAAAAAAAACTAGATGGGACTCCAGTATAACTCAGTGGTAGAACATCTGCTTATCGTGCACTAGGTCCTAGGTTTGATCCCTAGCACCAAAACAACAACAACAAAACCCAGTGTATTGTAGCAGGGTACCATGACAACAGTCCTGTAGTCTGCTACTCAGGAGGCTATGTCAAGTCAATCACTTGAACCCAGGAGTTCTAGGCAGGCCTAGACAACAAGACTCCCTGTCTCAAAAAAAAACCAGAAAACCAAAACAAAACAAAACAAAAACCCTCTAGGCTGGGCACTGAAATCCTAGCTACTCAGGAGGCAGAGCTCTGGAGAATCTTGGATCACAGTCAGCCTGGCAAAAAATGAGACCCTATCTCAAAATATCCACCCAACACACACGAAAAAAGAACTGGTAGAGTGGCTCAAGTGATAGAGGTCCTGCCTAGCAAGCATGAGGCCCTGAGTTCAAACCCCAGTACCGCCCACCCCTCCAAATGGCCCAAACAAAGAAACCCTTATTAAGAAATAAGAAAGAAAACCCGGACATCTGGAGCATGGTTCAGGTGAGGCCCTGAGTTCAATCTCCCAGCATCACCAAAAGAAAACCCAAAAGGAAAAACCTGATTAGCTGTTATTAGTTTGTTTTTCTTTTCTTTTCTTTGTGCCTGTGGTGCTGAGGAGCAAACCAGGGCCTTTGTACATGTTAGGCAAGTGCTGTACCACTGAGCTATACCCCAGCCCCACTAACAGTTTTGATATCAAATAGGATATCAAAGTATATAATATAACATGTATTTAATTGTGGAGAAAGCCCAGAAAGTACAGACCTGATAATAAATTAATCTGACTGCATAAGAGCAACAAACTGGTATTTAGACTTGGTTTACCTCTTTAATTACCATGAACCATTTGTGGGTTTCAGTTTTTGTTTTAATGACAGCTTTATGGAGATAAAACTCACATACCATACAAGACATCTATTTAAAATGTATTAATTCAGTGGTCTTTAGTATATCATATATGTGTGTGCAACCATTACCACAATCAGATTTGGGGTTTTTTTTTTGTTTTTTGTTTTTTTTTTTCCTTTTTTGATACTGTAAGTTTGAACTTAAGGCTTTGCACTTGCTAGGCAGGGGAGCTAGTCCCCCGTTCCCCCCCCCCCCGGCCCTTTTTGCTTTTAATTATTTTTCGGATAGTTCTTGAGTTTATGCCCAGGCCTGCTTAGAATGAAATCCTCCTATTTACGCTTCCCCGGTAGCTGGGAAGATGGGGTCTCATTGACATTTTGCCTGGCTTTGAACTGCAGTCCTTCTGATCTCTGCCTTCTGAATAATTGGGATTATACCCTACTTTTTTTTTTTTTTTCAGGGCCTTCACCTTGAGCCACTCTACCAGCCCTATTTTTGTGAAGGGTTTTTTTTTTTTTTTTTTTTAATTTTATTATTCATATGTGCATACAAGGCTTGGGTCATTTCTCCCCCTGCCCCCACCCCCTCCCTTACCACCCACTCTGCCCCCTCCCTCTCCCCCCTCACCCCCAATACCCAGCAGAAACTATTTTGCCCTTATTTCTAATTTTGTTGTAGAGAGAGTATAAGCAATAATAGGAAGGAACAAGGGTTTTTGCTGGTTGAGATAAGGATAGCTATAAAGGGCATTGACACACATTGATTTCCTGTGCGTGTGTGTTACCTTGTGAAGGGTTTTT